CTGGAGCAGTTCTTGTCTGCTTTTATTATTTTTTTTTTTTTTATTTTTATCTAGAGACAAACTGTCTCCTTCGCCCTCAGGGGGGCCCCCAGGGGGGCCCCCCGGGGGGGCCCCCCTGTCTCCTCTTCCCCCAGGGGGGCCCCCACTCAACAAACCAACTGTCTCCTCCATGCGTGCTCGCACAACACGTAAATCTACTAAAGGTAACTGACGAACGGGGACACCTGAGACGTGGGCCTCAGCTGAACAGCAGCAGCAGCAGCAACAGCAGCAGCAGCAGCAGCAGCAGCAGCAGCAGGAGGAAAGGAGGAGGAGATGCAGAAGAAGGGGAATTGATAGAACAGGAGAAAGGTGTATATAAAAATAAATAAATAATAAAATAAATTAAAGAAATAAATAATAAATAAACAAATAATAAAAAAATAAATAAATAAAATAAAATAAATAAGAAAATAAACAACGGAAGCAAAACCACAGCAATCGACAATTTATAGTCTCAACAACTACTGCTGTACTAAACCCTAAACCCTAAACCCTAAACCCTAAACCCTAAACCCTAAACCCTAAACCCTAGATTACCTTCTTCTTCAGACTCAGACTCATCCCCTCCATCATCTGCAGCACAGCAAACAAAAACAAACAAAAACTAAACCATACACTTCCTGGGATCGTCTCCCCCCAGGGATCGTCTCCCCCTGGGATCGTCTCCCCCCTGGGATCGTCTCCCCCTGGGATCGTCTCCGTATCCCCCTGGGATCGTATCCCTCTCCCTGGGATCGTCTCCGTTTCCCTGGGTTCGTCTCCCCCTGGGATCGTCTCCCCCTGTGATCGTCTCCCCCTGGGATCGTCTCCTGGGATCGTCTCCGTATCCCCCTGGGATCGTCTCCCCCTCCATGGGATCGTCTCCCCCTCCCTGGGATCGTCTCCCCCTCCCTGGGATCGTCTCCGTTTGCCTGGGATCGTGTTTGTTTTGTTTGCCTGGGATCGTCTTTGTTTCCCTGGGATCGTCTCCTGGGATCGTCTCCGTTTGCCTGGGATCGTCTCCTGGGATCGTCTCCCCCCAGGGATCGTCTTTGTTTTGTTTGTATTGTTTTTGTTTGCCTGGGATCGTCTTTGTTTCCCTGGTATGGTGTGTGTGTGTGTGTGTGTGTGNGTGTGTGTGTGTGTGTGTGTGTGCTTACATGTTTTTTGTTTTGTTTGGTTTGTCTCTTCTTCTTCTTCGCTTGAGCTGTCACTAGGAAATGCATTTTCTTCTGTCTCCTCTTCTGTCTCCTCTTCTGTCTCCTCTTCTTCTTCTGTCTCTTCTTCTTCTTCTTCTGTCTCTTCTTCTTCTGTCTCTTCTTTTTCTTTTTGTTTTTGTTGTTTTTGTTTTTGTTTTTGTTTTTTTAGTTTTTGTTTTTTTGGTTTTTCTATTTCTTCTGTTTCTTCTTCTGTCTCTTCTTCTTCTGTGTCTGAAAATATCTGGGAGGAGACAAAAGGAGACAGAAAGAAAAGGAGACAAATAAATAAATAAAGAAAGAAAAGGAGACAGAAAGAAAAGGAGACAGATAGAGAAAGGAGACAGATAGAGAAAGGAGACAGAAAGAAGACAGGGAGATAGATAGAAGGAAGAAAAGGAGACAGATAGAGAGAAGAAAAGGAGACAGATAGAAAGAAGGAAAGGAGACAGATAGAAAGAAAAGGAGATAGATAGAGAAAGGAGACAGAAAGAAAAGGAGACAGATAAATAAAGAAAAAAAGGAGACAGGTAGAAAGAAAAAAGGAGACAGATAAATAAAGAAGAAAAGGAGACAGAAAAAGAAAGGAGACAGGTAAAGAAAGGAGACATATAGGAGACAGCTACAAAGAAGAAAAGGAGACAGAAAAAAGGAGACAGAGAGAGACAAAAAGAAAGAAAGGAGGAGACAAATAAATATAAAGACAAATAAAAGAGACAAATAAAAACAAACAAACGAAGAGGAGACAGAATATACAAAAAAACAAAAGAAGATAAACAAATAAAACAAAATAAACAAAAACAAAAAAAACAAAACAAATAAAAAAACAAAAAAAACAAAACAAAACATAAAACAAAAAAAAATAAAACAAAACAAAACAAAATGAAATAAACAAACAAAAGTAAAAAAAAAAAAAAAAAAAAAAAAAAAAAAAAAAAAAAAAAAAAAAAAAAAAATTATTTTGTCTTTGTCTGCTCACCCTGAGCTTTTCGGGTGTCTCCTCAGCTTCTTCTTCTCCCAGCAGCTCCTCTGACACACAAACCCTAAACCCTAAACCCTAAACCCTAAACCCTAAACCCTAAACCCTAAACCCTAAAAGGTTTTAGGGGTTAGTATTGATGTGTACGGCTTCTCTTTGTTTATTTAATTTATTTTTCTTTATTTAATTTTTATTTTTATTTATTTTATTTACTTATTTTATTTTATTTTATTTATTTATTTATTTATTTATTTATTTATTTATTTATTTATTTATTTTATATGTTGCTGCTGCAGTGGGTTCCCCTGTGCCCTTACCACTTGCTGCTGTTTCTGTTTCTGCTGCTGCTGCTGCTGCTGCTGCTGCTGCTGCTGCTGCTGCTTGTCTCTTCTCTTTTTTTGTTTTTGTCTCTCCTAAGCGATTGCCTGTGCTGCGGGCTGTCCCTACATTTGGCTTTGTTTTGCTGCTGCTGCTGCTGCTGCTGCTGCTGCTGCTGCTGCTGCTGCTGCTGCTGCTGCTGCTGTGTTTCTGTGTCTCCTTTCTGTCTCCTTTTTTGTCTCCTTTCTGCGCCTTTATCGGCCCCCTGCTGCCCTTCATTTCCTCTACCTGTAATCTAATAAACCCTAAACACCTTCTTATTCTATTTGTTCTGCTGCTGCTGCTGCTGCTGCTGCTGCTGCTGCTGGATCAGGGTGCTGCTGCAGCAGCTGCTGCTGATGCCGCTGCTGGATCAGGGTGAGGGTGCTGCTGCTGCTGCAGCTGCTGTTGCTGCTGCTGCTGGATCAGTGTGCTGCTGCTGCAGCAGCTGCTGCTGCTGTTGCTACTGCAGCTGCTGCCGGGTCAGGTTACTGCTGCAGCAGCAGCTGCTGCTGCTGTGGCTGCTGCTGCTGCTGC